CCGCTGTGTCAGGTTACTCAGGTTTCTGCCACTACCTCTTATAATTATTCAGTTGAAGTAGATGACCCCCCAGGAGAACAAGGCAGCAAGTGTTTGTGTCATGATTTCTTCTGCATGTTCTGTGTGGAGTTCTAGACCAGGGCCCCATGCTTAGTACCATCACATGATGCTACAGCCTCTCCTAGGAACCACTAACCAGGGCACACATCCCACTTCCCATCTGAACACACAGCCTCTCTGCATCCCCTTGGATAGATGTAGGAGCTTCTTTTCTGGGAGTGAGAGGGGTTTGCTTGGGCCATTTGTACTCTTTCACGTCCTCCAGTCCACTGGGGAGCTGAATAAGTTTGATTTTCCTGCTCTATTCAAATGCTTGGGGTCATTGGTGGACATTGCACAGTTCTGTACTTGAGGAAAACTTAAGGGCTTTTGGCTACTCAGTACCATGTCAGATAATGAGGTTTCCTGGATGGTAGCTTCATTCCATCAATGGTGATTACCACCCAGCTCAGAGTGACATCAGGAGCATAATCAAACCTATGTTTCCCTTTGATCTAATGCACTGGAACAGATTTTCTTTTGTCAGCCTTTGTCGCTGGTGCCAAGGCCCTCTCTGAAACTAGCCCTCTATGAAGAAAACCGACCTCTGGTTAATAGAACTGCTGGATGAAAAATTCAGAGATGCCAATTTGAAATGAATTACATTATGAAAAGCTTACAATGGTTTCTTTTATTGTAGTTACTAAATCGTGATGGAGAGCGGCAGATAGAAAAAATTWAAAAAAAAAMCCAAAACCTTTTTATTTTTATTTTCCCAATGAGGTTTCTCTGATCTCTTTTTTAGTCGCAATATGTGTCAACCATTCAACTCACACCACACACACACACACACACACACACACACACACACACACAGAAAAACATGCCAGGAAAGGAGAAATCTTTTCTCTTTCCCTTCCTGTGAAAAATTCAGATGAGCTCATCTGTGTTCTCTCCTTTCAATGAAAGATACACTCAGCCCTCATCTTCTTCTCATTTTCCATTGATGATGTCAGGCAGGCCTTACAGTATCTCTTTTGTGATCTTATAAAATCAGTTACGACTGAAAGCATTTCCCTTTTGGCTATGACTTCATCAGTAGTCTACACCTGGAGAGGCCCTTGTCTGCACTGGTAAGTGGAGCTAACCTCTGATCCAGGCTGAAGCAATTTACCAGGAAACTACTGCTTTCCTTCAAAACACTGCCTATGCCATTCAGATTTGGAAGGTTTCTGAGCAACGAATGTGGCGGAGTGCTAAATATGACTGGCTAAGGTGGCGCTCCAATCTCTGTATACCTCAGAAACACCTCTTTACCTGGCCAGGTTTAAACCTGGACACAATAATCCATACTCAGAATGTTAGGTCTGTGACATATTGGTGACATTCTCATAATTCCTGCCCTGCAATCCTTCCCTCCACTGTAGGCCATCTCAGCTACACTCTGAGCAGTAAAACAGGCATTCACTTAAGTATTAACTCAGGACAGAGGAAGTGTGTGCCACAGGGTCCACATGGCTGTGCGTTTCCTGGGCTGTACAAGAGAGGAAGATAAAGAAACATTGGCCATCTCTTGTAGGGTGTCTCGAATCTGAAACTTAGAATATATCGTGGACACCATTTGGACAGAAGCCAAAGGTACTAAAGGGACAATATTTTGCAGGCCCAAATAATGCAGAGCAAGACAGGTTTGATGGAGTTAGTGTGTCTGAAACTAAATATAGTATTTTTGTGTTTAAATAAAATAGTATTTTTTGTGTTTAAAGTTAAATTGTATAGAAAGGAAGTGCTGGAAGTAAAATGAGACCGAGAGTCACGATGGGCAAACACAATGAGAAAGGTTTTGCTGTGGCCAGTGAGAGTTCATGAGGCCTCTCTCCCTGTGGCCCTTGTGAAATATTCCTCATCATAAGTCAACTCCCTTGCTCTGAATCCAAGTGTGCCAAGCACTTTCCAGATGGCTAAGTCAGCTTCCCCAGTGGCCACTGGGACATGGAGAGAAAGTTGCTCTGAAGCATTTGGGTCTCTCCTACTGTACAAATAAGTCGACTTTGGCTTTATGCATTATCCTAATAATTAATATCCAAAGGATATCGAACACTTGCTACACATCAGGCACAAGTCTAAGCATTTTATGTGAATGAGTACATTCAGTCTCCATAAGATCTCTCTGATTCTGGTACATTTAACAGATGAAGAATCTAAGTTAAGTTTAAAGAAGTTGCTCAGAGTTTTGCAGCTTAGGAAGTGACAGACCCATGATTCAAACCTGGATCCTGAGGCTCCAGAGCTCACAGGCTTAACTGCCATGCTATGCCTGCTCTTGTGAATCATCATTAACAAATATCCCTGAATCTGGTCAGGTGCACTGACAAGGCAGAAGTCCATACTTTCCTTATGAAATCATGGGGACACCTGATTATCTTGAGCCTCCAAAATACTTTTCTTCTTTTTGACCTATATTTATAATAAAGTCCAGGCAAAAGCTCAGTGATTCCTTTAAAAGTACAGCAGAATTGAGATTGACTATGAGGATCTGACTGCAAGCAAACTAAGTCTATATTTGGAATACATCAGTGTTAAGGTTTAAACTGCAAAATACATGGAAGCAGATTTGGACTAATGTTTCTCACATCTTCGAACTGCTTTTAATGTGTGTTTCATTCTAGAAGAGGTAGGGAAAGAATGGGAAACTACATTTATTATGAATGATGTGACTGGCTAGCACTTTTTCATAGCTACACTCTTCTTTAACCTCACAGCAACCCTGTAAAATTGTATTTTCATTTTTACAGATGAGATTGGAGACACAACAAGGTTATGCACTCTGTTCAAGATCACAAAGCTAATAAGCAGTCTAACTGGTAATCAAATTCAGAAATTTGATTACCAACCCCAAATTTAGTTTATATTTAGGTTCTATCGTGTATACTGAGCAGGATCTTGATGCATATATTTAAAGCAAACTGTAGTGATTTTTTAATGTTGGGTAATCACGTGTCCATTGACTGTACTGACTAGTCTGCAAGCATCACAGAACTCAGAATTCAGGTTGTATGTATTTCTATACGTCCCACAATACTTGGCAGAGGGTATGCTCAGAACAGTAACTGGTGAGTTACCTCCCACTGTGAGTGTAAACATCGTGCAGGTGTGGAAGATAATCCCTGATAAAGGCGCAAACCTGATCTTAAGGCCTGCATTCTGAGCTTTCCTTTGAGAGGCACCACTGGACAGATTTGCCAGCAGACCTGAACAAATCCCAGCAGCTGAAATCCAGGGACACAGCTCCCTAAGTCTTGGGTGTGTTGTTTATGATCATACCTCATCAGCCAGCTCCTTTCCTCCCCTTCCCTGGTGCCTCTTTGGCCGCTCTGTTTCTCTTCCCTGGCTTTGAACCTGTTGGCAGCTTCAATAGCTCTTCTTCAAAGAGCTGAAGACAAGCCTGATGTTACAATTGCCTTGCTTAATTCCAGACAGGTTCCCATTAATCGTATTAAATTAGGGTGAACAAAGGGTATTTAGTCTATGACAGAGATGAACCATATCTGGATAAATATAAACAAGAGAGTTAATTCTGCAAGGCCACTATTTGCCAGCAATTGGAAGGATGTCAGCAGTGCCCTTGCTAAGGCAGGTGGGAGGGTGGAGGGTGGATGGCAGAAGAGGTTTAACAACATTAGTGCTGAGCATCTGGACTCTGTATAAAGAAGAGAATAAAGATTGCAACTGGAATACATTAGAAGGAAAGCAAATGTTTTATCCACAGAAAAACAGGCATTAATAATATCAGTCTTTAATCCGCCCCAGAGCCCCCTAGCTTGCCTTCTTCACTGTTGACTTTCATCTTCCTCGAAAAGCCGCCTGCTAAAGGTCCCTTCCCAGATCAGCCTTAGGTCATGGGGGCAGAAATACTGTTGCTAAACAGATATGCAAGGGAGTAGCATGTGTGATGGGAGTACAGTGTGACAACATAATCCCAGCACGGACGGATGAGGTCAGTGTAGGGTGATGTTGGCTTTTCTAGCATCTACTGAATCATCTGATGGGAGCAGCAATTGAAAAGAATAAATACAAACACATGCGACACACTGCCACAAGGACTTTATGGCCCAGTTCTAAGAGAAAGGATCCTATTTTGATAGGATCAGTAAGGCAGTGGAGAGAACAATAGGCTGGCTTTAGGGGACCTCTGCTCCCTTCTTGTCCCCACTAGCTGGGCAGCTGTGTGACCTCAGATTGCCTGGCCTCTGAGAAATGAAGGCATTGGCCCATCTGGTATTTAAAGTCTCTTTCAGTTTCAAAGGCATAGATTTGTCCCATGTAAAGAAATTTTATAAAAGTACATTACTCCAAGACCCCAGCCTTGGGATCACTGTACTGAGCTGCAGTGTTAGTTCCTGCGTGAAGAATGTTTTGTTTAACCTCTACCGATAAAGACTAAGTGTTGGCAGGTGCATTAGGCCCAGAGGTTGAAGCAAAGCAGAATCAAGAGAGAAGGTCTCTGGAACAACATTCCTGCTCTAAGCCATGACCACAGAATTCCAGTAACCTGTAGGTTTCAAAGTCTATTTTGAACAAGGAGAAATGACAGGATCCACAAACAGCATTTAACAATCATAGTTCACACTCCACATTCCCTGACATGCTATATACTTGCACACATCACTATTGCTCATGTTTTTCTTTCTGTCCAGAATGTTTTCTGCTTATCAAAATTCTACCCACCCCAACTCCAGCTGGGAGGAACTGTCTGTCTCTGCACGCTCTTTGGTTGTCAGTTACAGCACCCACTTCATTCCACCTCACATTTCAGTCCTATTCTGATTATGGACTAGAAACTCCCTAGGGTAGGGACTGGGTCACATTTATCTATATGTCCCTGGGCCTGTGTGACATTATTATAGGCACTCACTCAATGAAGTCTTCTAAACAGAACTGAATGGGGATTGCCAGGTTACCTGCTAATGTGACGGCAATGGAGACAGAGTCATATCCTAGGGCATTTGTGGCATTGCAAGTATAGAAACCCACATCAGCTTCCACTGGTGCCAAGATCTGTAAGGAATCATCTGGCTGAAGAAGAATCCTGGAGCAACAGAAAAGAAATGTCAAGTCAGTGGACTCCTTTTTGGTATTCAACATTGGGAAGGCAGGAAGGAAACTTGAGGTATATTTAGAACTCTCTTTTAACTACTAAGACAGACCAATTAGGACATTCGGGAAACTAGGCTCTCTTGCTACTTCAGTTGGTGTGATTTTGATTGCAATCTCAAATCAGGAGGTTTTAGATTGCTTTTGCAGCCTGTTAATTACTTTATCTAAATGCTACTAGTTGAAGCAGATGACATGTGCACTGAAAACATATAACCCACAAAACATCAGGGATGAGAGAGTATGGTAGAAAAAGATGGTGCAGAGAGATTTATAGAAGGCTTACTAAGGAGAATACAGAGTTATAAAGGAGGAGTGGGCTTGGTACAGTGGTAGAAAGAAGGCAGTGGTTCAAGATATGGAAAGAGGCTTCTGTTAAGGTTTGGGGGTGGGATCTTGACAAGAGTATATGATGCCCATATTTTTAAGAAATTGTATAACTACCTCTCAATTCTCAGTAAGTGTATGCATGTGTGTAAATGCATATATGTTTATTTATGTGTCTTTGTATACACATACACACAAACACACAGTCTTTATTAGACTGTAAATACTATGAAGCACAAAACTCAGGTCTTATTTATTGCTTTCATTTCCCATAATACTACAGAGGGCTTTCTGTAAAGAAAGTGTCCAGCAGAATAAAGGGAAAACTTGCCCTTTTGTGTCATGAAGAAACAATTCCAGAACAATTAGTCTAGATCAGATATTATTTTTACCCCAAAAGAATTACAAGAATCAAATTGCAAGTGCCTAAAATAAACTTCAAAACCCTTTACAATCTCAGTCTACTGATTTTTCTTTTCTATAGATATTTTCCCCCCCATTTCTAGGAACTACTTGCTTTATCATGTCAATTAAGTAGATTAGTGACTAACAATGGCTTGAAGCTGATGTCTTGGTGATTTGGTGAGGATGACAATCACTGGAATGTGTATGTTGATGGGGAACCTAGGAGGGATGGTAAGGATAGGGTTGGGGATCAGTGCTTAGGCCAGGCAGGGCATTAAGTTGACAGAGCATTCACAGAGATGGTTTTGGGGAGATTTTTGGACTCCTCGAGTCAATCATTTCCATCTTAATGATTCTTTCCATTTCCCTAGTTTCAAAAAGCTCAAAGAACTGGCTACTCAATACCATGTTAACATCCATCCCTAGGAGGCAAGCAGGCAACAGGGGTTGTTTTTCAAGAAAGAAAGGAAAACAGTTAAATCAGGGGAACTCATAAGACCGCGTGGTGAATTTAAGACTACCAGTCAGATMTCCTGCCCCAGCAACATTGTCCCACTAGACAATTCTTTCCTTTCTTTTCTATTTCTCTTGCTGGGTCTCCTGAGACTCTCTGGCATTTGCAGTTCAGCAGCACCTCTGGTCACCTCTCAATCATCCTGGGGTGGGTAGCCAGTCTGGCCCTGAGTCAGGCCTTCTCCATTCTGCTTTTGGCCTTGGGCCTACTGCATGGCTTACTTCTACCTCCTGCCCGGGGAAAGGCAGGCAGCAGGGGAAGCAAGGCTTACATCCAGTCAATCTAGTTATGGACCATAGTGCTGGTAAGATGGGGAGGGAAATAGGACATCTGAGCTACAGGGAAGCTTTTGGAGGATTTGTGCTTGATTCAGTACCATTCTAAACCACCACCACATTACTGGGGACAGTAGAGATTCTGTGGCATTGGGTAAGGGTTGTGACTGAGTGTGGGATGAAAGGAAAGGTGTGCGAGATCGTGATGGAACTCACCCCTGCATTCACTCTCTCATCCATCAAACATGAGCTGTCTTTTCCCCCCAAAGGCAAACACTTACATGTTAGTTTATTTCCAAGAAGCTAATAAGATAAAGATGACTAGACTACACTATTTACTTATCATTGGTAGGTCATGTAATACTTTAGAAAACAGCATCATTTTCTTTTAAAGGAATCTTATCAGATACAACATAATGCAATATCATTCTAAGTCTCTACAGGTGTTCAAGCTGTTTTATATTAAAAAAATAAACTTGACTTTATGATTTAGATCTTTATGATGTTTCAAGAATATGTATGCTTCTATAAAAATTTCCAAATAAGAATAATGAAAGCAGGCATAATCAAATTTCAATTGATTACTTAGGATGATTGAACTTAACAGATCACTATTCAGTTTCAGCACACTGGAAGGCAGGGTTTAAAACTAACTAAGTCTCCAAACCCATTAGGATAGATGGCTTTCTTCAAATAGCAACATCTCTCTTTTTGGGGGGAGGAGGTTATTTAAGACTTAACTCAGGGGTGTTCTACCATCATTGAGCTACATTCCTAGCCCTTTTGAGACCCCGTTTCACTAAGTTGCTTACTGATTCACTAAATTGCTAAGGTTGGCCTTGTACGTGCAATCCTCTTGCCTCAGACTCCTGAGTCTCTGGAATTATAGGCATACACCAATGTGCCCAGCTAACATCTCTCTTTTTGATAAAGGATTCTTAAATTGAACACTTTGAGCAGAATACTAGAAGAGAGTTCTTTTGAACCTTATTTTGGTTCTTCTGTGATTTAAGTAATGGTCACTGGCAAATCTCTTTACTTCCTATATTTCAGTTTATTAGTTTCTAAAACCCAGTATATATTTCCCACTGAGCAGAAGGAATTGCTAAAATAAGGCAGGTAGAGAACTTCCACACTGTGCTCTGGTGCTTCCAGTGCCCTTTGTTAGAAATGGAGGCTGGAATCCTGGATGGTGAATTAAGTTTGAGAAAGGTAGGTGAGGAGCCTGCGGAAGTGGGAGGGGCACATGATACTGGCCCGTCTCCCTTAGTTTTTTTAGATATCCATATTCATATTATTATTATTATTATTATTTTCACATAAAATTACTGCCCCTTTCTGAATTCTGGCAGAGGATATACCCCTCTTCCACACTGGGCCTAACCTACTCTTTTTTTGTCCTTTTCTTATGTGGGGTTAGCAGTTTTTGTAACTACCTTAGTTCCTCTAGGCACTGGCACTGCTCAGTAAGTCACAATATTTTCTACCTAGGCCTGAGGCCTGGAAAAGGATTTTTGCAGAGTTGGTGAAGAGAAGGAGGTGATCTATCATACTGGCCACAAAACCATGAGAATTTGAACTAGGAATAGTGAAAATGAAAGGCAAGGAATATAAGTCATGAGATTTTTGCATTCATTTTTGCTCTTATTCTCTAAATTGTGTATGCAAAGATAAAGAAGCTATAGTATTGACCTTCATAAAATCTTAATTATTAAGATAAAATACACATGGAACAAATCCTATAAATTTTATTCATAAAACTGAGTTCTCTGCTGGGCAAGGTGGCACACACCTGTAATCCCAGCGGCTTGGGAGGCTGAGGCAGGAGGATCATGAGTTCAAAGCTTTGCTTAGCAAAAGTGAGGCGCTAAGCAACTCAATGAGACCCTGTCTCTAAATAAAATACAAAATAGAGCTGGAGATGGTCCAGTGCCCAAGTTCAAACCCTGGAATCCACCCCCCCCCAAAAAAAAAACCCCAAAACCAAAACTGAGTTCTGTGGCTCAAGTGTACACAGCTCTCTGAAGGGGGAGTTAGAATCAGGATTTGAAATAGGCTTTCTTGCGTTTGACACCCCCCATCTCCCCAATACCTTTGGGACTACCAGAAAGTTCAACTGTTTAGTCATGCTTTCTTCTTGTAARCAGAAAGCTGCCCATAAGTGTACCCTGCACATTTGGCCCATTCGGATATTCTGTCCCTTTTGCTAGCAATCTATGAAGGCATACATCCTTTTAAGTCTAGGAGAGGATTTGACTCCTAGTGTTGTGACAATATGCCCATTAAATTGGAAAATGGGAGGGTGGTGGTTGGAGGCTGCCACTAGGGGGAGCAGTAGTTCTGGAATGTTTCCATGTTGGGCTCTCTAGGAAGCATGGCAAAGAAAAGCAGGGCCTGCTGTGGAGATGGAGGTTTTCTTCAGCCTCTCTGTATCTAGCCTGGCATCATAGGAGAAAGATTCCTGGAAAAAAAAAAAAAAAAACTAGTTTCCTTGTATTCCAGGCGTCTACTTTATTAATTTAACTTAATTTGTTAGTAGCTGATTTCTGTCAGCTTGTGTTTAGGTTTCAAATTTGACAGGCCTGTTTTAGAATGTGTAGGCAGAAAAACATTGTGTTGCTTTCCAAGCAAAACCAGAAAAATCTCTCTGGGGTTGTTTTGGAATTTAAGAAATCAGAAGATGAGGGGACATGGAATGGACGTAATTAAGACCTACGCAGCAAATGGTACTGTGGTCAATATTAGGTATACTAATACTCCCTGCTTTCCTTCCACACCYGCATCTCACTTCCCTTCTGGTTTACTGGGCTAAAACTAATTGTTTTATTTATTTGCCCATGCTTTTAGCCAAAAAGTAAAGGAAGAGTTTGCTTTTCTGGGTCCTTTACATGTAAGCTTCTTTGTGACAGCATGTCTTTTAAAGCATTCTACAGTTAAGTAAGGACCACTTGAGAGACTACAAAAAATTGTTTTCATTGTATAAATAAAAATCCTTGTCATACATGGGCATAAGATATGGACAAGATGTTCATGGCCAAGTACAATCTCCTTGAGGTTAAGTCACCTCTGTATTTTCAATGTATCATGATAAAGGGATCTTACTTAAAGGAGGCAGCTCTGGGCGCACAAAGTCTTGAGCAATTCTGCAAGCAGGATGGCATCATGATATCTTTTTGATTCTTCTCTCAAGTGTGAATACCTCTGCCTTATGCAAGCCCTCTTTTCAAATTGACCTCCTTGACCAACMACGAGAAGCTGCTGTGTGAAGGGAAAAACTTCTAAAGTTGGATTCAAGGGACTTAGACTCCAGTCTGGGGTCCTGTGGTCTTGGGCAAGCCATTCAACTATGTGAGCGTCTAAGTTCCTACTGTAAACTGGAGATAATACTAGCTTCAAAGAGCTTCTGTGAAGAGT